AGGGGCCGCGCCGTGCCCGGGCCTCAGGTACCAGCGCTCCTACAAACAGCAGCGATCCCTTGGGGTCGGCTAGGAAATGCTTCCACACCGGTCCGCAGGAGCCAAGGACACACAGTGATGCCTATTCGGTTAAACATTGGTTTTACTCCTGGGTTTTTTCCCTACTGGGTCGCTTCTAACCTCTGCTTTCTTTAAGTGGGAGGCTGGAAGCTCTGGAGGGGACACGGCTGCTGCCAAACGCTCGGCTTTGTTGGCGAGAGCTCATTTAGCGACGCGCCTCATGCCTTCTGCATTTATAAACACACATGACTTTATCAAGATAATTGAGATGAAGTTCATTGTAAAAAATGCTTTGTTTAAAGAGCAACCATTAAAATGAAGGACCCGTAAATATTTACGAGCAGTTCGGTTAATTCAAGATTAAGGGGAGAGCTGAGACCTGGTGTTTAATGTTTTTTACCTCTGTGAATAAAAAAAAAAAAAAAGAAAAGAAAAGAAAAAAGAAAGCAAAAGCATGCACCGCCAGGAAAAGGTGTTGCATTGCTTCCCATCCATTGTCGAGAAGATACCTATAATTCTTTTAAAACAGGAAGAACCATGGTATAATAAAACCATTGAGATGGCTAGACGTCTGGACCTAATGAGTTTACGATATGCTATGGCACTTTTCTTTGAAAGCACCTTATTTTGATGTTTGTGTTTGTTAGGGGGGAAAAAAGGCAAAAAAATGCAGACAAACTAGGTCTTAAAACCTTGGACTATAAATTTCAGTATGTCAGCATTGGGCCAAGGCAACAGACTCAAAAAGGACCCGAAGGTCACGAAACAGAGATTTTACGAAGTCCACTTATTTGTTGAAATGTATTTTATTGGATATTCTGTTGCAATGAATCCTATGATGCCAGCCTCAATATTTTCGCAAATACCCATGGCAGGGGGGGGATGGGGTGTGTGTGTGTGTGATCTGTAACAACACATAAACAATATCCTTGTACACAAAACTGCATTGTGTTGATCCCAGCAGAGGCTCTGTTAAGAAATTTTCACCCAGCCCACACCATCTTTTAATATTTTATATCAAGCAGATTGACACATTTAACTTCGTATATTTTTTCCTTTTGTTTACCTGTTTTTAATATTGTGTGCACTTATTTCAAAATGGCAGAAAGAAAACCAAACATCTCGATCGATGAAATGCAGTTCGTCTATGGAAATTACTTTTAGTGTCAAACAGAATAATTTAATTCCTACCCGTTGGTTGTGTTAATATATGTTTTCACATATGCACAGTCTCGTGCACACACGTTATACCGAATAATTCACAGGCATGTGTGATGAAGGAGGGGGTGAACAAAGATTCATCTTTACTTTTGTTTACATAAATCAATCCATAAATACATAAAAGCGCGGGCAAACAAAATAACATCTTCAATACAAAAACGTATAACTCTAAAACTACCACACATGGAGATTTCATGCTGTAATATGTGGGGGAACATGATCGAAAACGCGATAGCAGTCGTCTTCAAAGCACAGGCGTCTTTCCTGGCTGCCATGTGTAAACGAGGCGCATTCTTTGTATGCAGTTAATTATAGCTCTGGCAAAAAAATAAAAGAGGGTCACCGAAACGTGCTAAGAGAAAATGGCACTGTAAACTTAAGGGGGAGGTGGTGGTGGGGGAAAGAAAAAAAAAGGAGAAAAGAAAGAAAAAGGAAGAAAAAGGAAGAAAAAGGAAGAAAAAGGAAGAAAAAGGAAGAAAAAGGAAGAAAAAAGAAGAAAAAAGAAGGGACCCAACCTCAGTCCAGGAAGCGAAGGGAGAGTCGGTGGCTCTGGC